GTCACTTTACCCAACAGCTCCCAAAACAACGTCACTTGGGCTAGATTTAGATGGCTAGTCTTCTAAAACACCATTCAGAATACTTCTGTACTGGCACAAGTGAGTATTTTTAAAAGTCTGAAGTTTACCTGTTAACAAACATAAAATTAGGCATTGCAGAGTATTGTATATATGTTGGTGGGGGTGGTTATGTGCTGTGGAGCCGGTTCCAACTCATAGCAACCCTGCATAGGGTTTCCAAGGCTGTAAATCTTTACAGGAACAGAAAGCCTCATCTTTCTCCCACGGAACAGCTGGTAGTTTCAAACTGCTAACCTTGTGGTTCGCAGTCCAATTCATAACCACTACGCTACCAGAGCTCCTTATATGTAAGTAAGAAAATTTAAATCTCATAGTTCTGGCTATCTCTTTTAGTATTTCTATGTGGCTTTCCACACATGACTTCCCAATCCTGAATTTCTTCTTTCGCGTAAAACATGATCGGGGATCAACCAAATATTCTCTCTAAGGTCTAATTTAAGTCCCCAAGTTATGTTAAAAAAATAACATTAAGGCCTAATATGTTTTATTAGACAATTCGTGGGCACTTGTTTTTATTAGCTTAGAAGCTTCAAACATAGAACTCAGCAACTCATTTTCTGTTTGTACAAAAAACCATCCGCTCCCAATGTTCTAAAGCACAAAAATCAGCTTGGTAAATCATGGTCACCTCAGCAATTACCTCTTCCTCTGAAGTTTTCATAGCAATCAACATTGACCAGAGTGTTCCTATTAAGTAAAGTCATCTGTTACATTTGATTTCAAGAACCAGGTAAGACAGGGCAGATATTCCTCATCAGGAATGAGCCCAATCATCCTTGGAATAAATTGTTCCCCCAAATATAACATTACTCAGGCCTTGTTCATCAACCTCTAATAGTTTGAGGGAGACTCCCCAGTCTTAATTTCCTATGTGAATCTATAAACGTCCACAGAGGTCAATTTCACTGGATGCCACATATAAATTAAAATTGAACATATGATGATGCCTGTTCACTTGACCAACTAAAATGACCAGCTGGGTTTAATGGGAAGAAAATAGAACCCCTGTGCAATTGGAATAGCTTCAAAGGTGAGAGGGAATGTAGTTATTTCTTTGTACCATTTCTTCTCCAAAGGCGACCTATACCAGCATATTATGAAGTTGGACATGACATTCTGAATCACTGAGCATACTGAAAGGCACAAACTAAGGGTCAGTAATCTGCAAAGGCATTGAGGGAAGCTCAGTGTCATTTATGCCTTATTTAAGCCATTTGATTTACAGTTAGGTGCTTTGAGAGGTAAATTCTAAGTTAGATTGGTACCAAAATGTTTTCTCTTAATAGCCATAAAACATTTTCTTGGCTTTGTTATAGTTATCCTTAGAGTAATTATCATTTTTGTCTAAAAGAACACTGATATCACCTTTCACAATCCTTTCTTTTATTTTTCAGAAGAGGGTTATCAGAAAAAGAGGAAGACCTTCAAGAAGATGGGTTGACACAGTGGGCTCACCTCAAAAGATGAAGCTACTGAGGTCAACGACCGAACCAAGGTCACAATGGTAGAAAGAGGTGAAGTTTGGGCTAGATGAAAAAAATGAAACCAAAACTTCAGACTCCCAGTTCAGGCTTTTTGTTTATCTGTAGCTGGGCAGTCATTCAAGGAAGAAAACAGGGCTAACTCTTGAAGAAAATCACCATTTCAGGAAACTAAGGTAGAGGTGCTGTTGTTAAGTGCCAATGAGTCGGTTCTGATAGCAACTCTGTATAGGGTTGCCATGGAGCAGCTTGTTGTTGTCATGTGCCGTGGAGTCGGTTCTGACTCACGGTGATCCTATATAGGGTTTTCAAGTCTGTAAATCTTTACAGGAGCAGAAAGCCTCATCTTTCTCCTGCGGAACAGCTGGTAGTTTTGAACTTCTGACCTTAAGGTTCGCAGTCCGATTTGTAACCACTACGCTACCAGAGCTCCTTATGCCTACAAGTAAGACCAAGTAATGCCCCTATTATTCAAACTTATGCACCAACCACTAAAGCTAGTGATGATGAAATTGAAGAATTCTATCAACTTCCTCAGTCTGAAATTGATCAAACCTGCAATCAAGATGTATTGGTTAACTACTGGTGAATTGGAATGCAAAGGTTGGAAACAAAGAAGAAGAAACAGTAGTAGAAAATATGACATTGCCGATAGAAACAATGTTGGAGATTGCATGATAGAATTTTGCAAGGCCAATGACTTCATTGCAAATATGTTCTTTTAAACAACATAAAAGACAACTATACACATGGACCTTACCAGATGGAATACACAGAAATCAAATTGACTTTTGATTCTTGAGCTTTCCACTAAATCAGTAGAAAGAGACAGCGGAAAAGCACCATATCATCAGCCAAAACAAAGGCCAGGGACAAGCTGTGGAACAGACCCTCAATTACTCATATGCAAATTCAGGCTGAAGCTAAAGAAAATTTAAACAATTTCACAAGAGCCAAAATATGACCTTGAACATATCCCACCTGAATTTAGAGATCTTCTGAAGAACAGATTTCATGTATTAGACACTAAAGACCAAAGACCAGAAGAGTTGTGGGACGACATCAAGAACATCATACAGTAAGAAAGCAAATGTTCATTAAGATAAGAAAAAAGGAAAAGACCAAAATGAATGTCATAAGAGACTCTGAGAATTGCTTTCCAGTATGGAGATGCTAAAGCAAATGGAAGAAATGAGGAGGTAAAGGAGATAAATATAAAAATCAAAGAGCCGCTCAAGAATCAAAAGTCAAATATTATAACAAAATGTGCAAAGGCCTAGAGTTAGAAAACCAAAAGGGAAGAACATGCTCAGCATTTCTCAAGCTAAGGGAACTAAAGAAAAAATTCAAGCCTCGATTTGAAATACTGAAGGATGAAATGGGCAAAATATTGAATGATGCAGAAAGCATTAAAAGAATATGAAAGGAATACACAGAGTAACTGTACCAAAAAGAAATGGTCGATGTTCAACCATTTCAAAAGGTAGCATATGATCAAGAGCTAGTGATACTGAAGGAAGAAGTCCAAGGTGCATTGGAGGAATTGGCAAAGAACAAGGCTCTGGGAATTGATGGAACACACACTGAAATCTTTCAACAAACGGATGAAGCACTGGAGGCACTCACGCATCAATGCCAAAAAATTTGGAAGACAACTACGTGGCCAACTGATTGGAAGAGATCTATATTTGTGCCCGTTCCAAAGAAAAGTGATTCAACAGAATGCAGATATCATCAAAAAATGTCATTGATATCTCATACAAGTAAAATTTTGCTAAAGATAATCTAAAATGGCTGCAAATGTGCACTGACAAAGAACTGACAGAGGTTCAAGCAGGATTCAGATGAAGACATGGAACAAGGGATACAGCTACTGATGTCAGTTGGATCTTGACCTAAAGCAGAGAATACTGAAAGTTTACCTGTGCTTTATTGACTATGCAAAGGCTTTCAATTGTGTGAATCATGACAAGCTATGGATAACTTTGCAGACAATGCGTATTTTGGAACACTTAATTGTGCTCATGAGGAACCTGTACATAGACTAAAAGACAGTTGTTCTAACAGAACCAGGAAGCACTGAATGGTTTTAAATTACCAAAGGTTGTAGTCTTTCACCATACTTATTCAGTCTGAATTATGAGCAAATAATGTGATAAGCTGTGGTAACTGAAGAAAAACGTGGCATCAGAATTGGAGGAAGACTCCTTAACAATCTGCGATATGCAGGTGATACAACCTTGCTTGCTGAAAGTGAAGAGGATTTAAAATACTTACTGAAGAAGATGAAAGACCACAGCCTTCAGTATGGGTTGCATCTTAATGTAAAGAAGACCAAAATCCTCACCACTGGACCAATAAACAACATTCATATAAATGGAGAAAACAATGAAGTTGTCAAAGACATCATTTTGCTCAAATCAACACTCATGGAAGCATCAGTCAAGAGATGAAATGACATACTACATTAGGCAAATCTGCTGTACAAGACCTCTTTTAAGTGTTCAAGAGCAAAAAGGTCAGTCTGAGGACTAAGGTGCACCTGACCAAAGCCATGGTATTTTCAATAACCTCATATGCATGTGAAAGTTAGACAATGAAGGAAGACCATAGAAAAATTGATGCATTTGAGTTAGGGTGCTGGAGGAGAATATTAAAAGTACCATGGACTGCCCAAAGTACAAACCAGTCTGTGTTGGAAGAAGTACAGCCAAAATGCTCTTTGGAAGCCAGGATGGCCAGACTTTCTCTCTCATACTTCGGCCATACTGTCAGGAGGGACCAATGCCTGGAGAAGGATATTATATTTGGTAAAGTGGAGGGTTGGAGAAAAAGAGAAAGACCTCCTCCGAGATGGACTGACACAGTGGCAGCAGCAATGGGCTTAAATGTAACAATGACTGTGAGGTAGATGCAGGACCGGCAGTGTTATGTTCTGTTGTGCATTGCGTTACTATTAGTTGTTACTGATTCGATGTCACCTAACAACAACTGAAAAAAATGAAGATTTCTTTGGAAGGAAATTAGTGCTGAATCAGTGACTCCTGACGTCATTAGCAGTCACTCAAGGATTTAAAAAAAAAAAAAATTTGTCTTTACCAAGAGTAGGCTTTTGGACATCCTCTTCACTTTCAGTAAACAAGGTTGGATTATCTGCAACTCGAGAGTTTTTAGGAGAAACTCTTCCCAAAATGAACAGCCAAGATTGTTTAGTAAGTAAGACCATTTCAAATGTGTTTGTTTAGTAATACCACATACAGATTAGCTTTATTTTGTTACTTTCCTCTCATTCTTTGAGTTAATTCCAATGACAGTTTTAAGGGGGAAAAGTCATTTATGTATTACCTGAATTTAAAAAATTGAATAATTTTAGCAATTATGCCAAAAAATAAGTTTTAAACATGGTTTTGAAGAATGATTCTACAATTAGTCACTGAGTTAAGACATTGGAAGTTCATGGTAAGCTGCATTTCTTCCAGTCACATGATGATAAATCTGTAAGGAAAATCAAGAGTTTCTAATTTTAATTCACATTTCATTATAGAGCCCCACTCTCATGCACTTCAAAAAAATCTCCTCCCAATCTACTTCAAGGAGAGGTTTGCTTGAAATAAGGCACAAGTTTGGGTTCTCATGAAGTTTTCATCCCTAGTTCTCCATTTACCCTCCACAGTCTGAAAAGTGATTTTTCTATTTCTTTCTTAAAAACACTTGTCAATTTATTCCAAGGAAAACAGTTTATTACTCACCTGCCTCTCAATATCTAAAAGCAGAGTGCTGGCACCTATTCGAAAGAGTTCTGGCTTCAGCCACTCATCTCCAAGTTCCTCCTTTATAAGAGAGAGCCAAGCAAGGGTGTCCTTGGCACTGCGGATGCCTCCTGCTGGTTTAAACCCTATCTGCAAAGGAAGGTAGAGAAAAGAGCAATGCTTGTTGTCATCAGATGGCTTTGAAAAATGGTACTGAATTTATACATGGAATCAATTCTCTCTCTCTCTTTTATTTTTAAAGAGAGTAGACTCTTCACATAATCCAGTAAAAGAGCTTAGATCACAACTCACACCTACTCCCACTGCAAAACAATTTTCCCACGATTAATGGGAAAAATGCCACTGTTCCTGAGGAGGCACTAATGAGAGTTAATAACCCTAATTAACATTTCACTTATTGGAAAGTCATAAATTTCAACCATCTAGACTATAACTGTGAACCTAAGACAAACAAGAGAGATGTCAATAAATAGGAAAACAAGCATCACAAAAGCCCATTCATTTCACATTTTTACAAGTAAGCCTGAACATTTCACCTTTCAGTCTCCATCTTGAGGTTCAAAAGACACAAGTGTATTTAAGCAAAAGAAGAGAGTCAGAGAGGCCCCTGCTACATTAAACAAACTGGCAGTGACCAACAAGGAAAGGTGACCCTTGTTTTAATCAACTTAACAGTATAGACTTTTTTTTTTTTTTTTAAGTTGTCAGTAAACAAAGTTCTATAAAACAGGCTGACCAGTTCCAAAAGAAAAGTAGAAATGGACAGTGGAGGGACTCTTCACACTTCAATAGTCTTTAAGAGTTGACCACAAAACAGCAATATTCAGACACTATCAGGTGTTTATAAATGTTATTTCAGGATCCATTTGGAAAAGATAAACATGTTCCATACACAGTAATGCTCTGCTTATCTGGATTGACGTGTCTCAGGAACTTGACCGTCTAATGGAGTAGGGTACATGTAGATGGGAGTAATCAAAACAACATCCCACAGTCCAAGTATGAAGCACACTTTTTACCGCTCAGAGCTACTGGCTTGATAGGTAGTACCAGAAGGAAATGACTGCTAACAGAATGAGAAAATAGAGTGACAATGAATGAAGACATTTTCCCATCAACAACTCAAGTGAGAAACCTGGTGATCCCAGGAAGTAATCTCAGGGTTTACCTGGACTCTACCTTTTCCCACACCACTCCACAGACACCACACCACACCATGGCTAATGAATACTTAAATTCTGTCATTCCTACCTCCTGAACTTCTATATCTTTCATATACACATGGTCCTCTCCAAGCTCATTTCTGCTGTTTTAGTTCAGACCCTCACCAATTCTTATAAGGAAAATCTAACTGGGGTTCCTGGTTCAATCACACGTCACACAGCTCATCAGTAGCAGTGCAGGGATTCTAACCACATGTCTATTACTATAGAACCTAAGCTATCACTATGTTGTAATGGGGAGAAACGGGTGAGGGCAGAACAAGTGGATGAGGTTTTTTGCTGAGAAGTAATCCTTCCAAAAATCAATTTGCTGATATTAGCATCCATGTTAATCATAGGAACATTTCTGTCAATTAGGCAGTGCTGGATATAGATTTTGCTATATAGCTCAGTTAGTGTCAGCAAGTCTGTTGGGCAATGCTTCTAAAGACAGGTTCTAGCAGAAGTTTATCTTTTCTATTTTTTTCTTTTTAAAGGGAAAGAATATAAAAAACAAATCTGCAATGAAAGCTCTGCTTTTCAGAAGTGACGCTAATCAAGGTTTGGAAGGAAGCCCATCACATTTTAAAACACCCTTTTAGTCAAGGAGGTAGAAATTTTACAATCTAAGGGCTACCCAGGCACCTTGACAACAAGCCCAAAAGGCTACACTTGATTTGTGGAAACATACATAAATCTTCATTGTGTGAAAAACATGAGTTAAATGAACATGCTTTGAAGCGTACCTATCCTCCTCTTAGTAAAACTAAGAGTCACTATGTTTATTAGCTGAGGAGAGAGTCAACAAAATTCAAGACACAGTATCGAAAGACAGGAAAGTGTCTCTCCTCTGTACTCTGGTCTAGAACACTCTTTGTATATACCTCTGTCGAGCACTTAAATTTTTTATTGAGATTCTTTGATTATTGGTCAAGGGTACTCATTAGTTCATTTTTTATCCCTAACATTTAACACAGAATGGTGGCACAGTAGTGAAGTGCTCTGCTGCTAAACAAAATTTTGGTTTGAACTCACCCAGAAACTTCTGACAATCTGCTCCCAGAAAGACTGTTGTTATTGTCATCGAGTTGGTTCTGACTCATATCAACCCTGTATAGGGTTTCCAAGGAACAACTAGTGGGTTTGAACTGCCAACCTTTGAGTGAGCAGTCCAGTGTTTATGCTACAGCGCCACACCAGGACTCTACTGTAAAGATTACAGCCTCAGGTTGCTATGAGTCAAAAATCAATTCAATGATCACAACAATTGCATTTAACACAGAACCTGGTACATGGCAACTACTTAATGCTAGTTGAGAGCAAAACAGGATTTGGTCCTCAAAGACTGCACATCAGTATCATCTGTGGAACTTACAACCTATCAGATGCCTGAATACTATCCCCAACTCACCCACCTCCAACTCCACCCCCATCCAGAACTACCAGTGGATGGGGCCCAGGTATCTATATATATATAAAGTTTCACATCTAATTTTTTAATTTTAACAACCACTGGTCTAATGAGTGGTTGTTGTTGTTAACTGCCATTAAGTTGGTTCTGACTCATTAACCCTGTATTGGGTTTCCAAAGAATAGCTGGTGGGTTTAAACTGCCAATCTTATGGTTCACAGTCCAGTACTGACCCTACAGTGCCACACCAGGAATCCTTAATGAGTGGTGGTAGCCTAAATAGGGGGCAAAGGCAGATTTGTCTTTTTGTATAGCTCTTCTTTAAAAAATTAGACCTTTTATTTGAAGCATTACAGAAAGGCCACTAGAGTAGAGGTAACTTGAGTTGGGCCAGCTTTATATGTTAGTCACAAGAGATATTTATCCTATTTGTATTTTTTTAAGATGTAAAATTAGTTTGAAGGAGAAAATCTGAGTTCATTTTCTCTCAAAATCAGTGCATTCTAAACATGTCCCCTATTCCAAAATATACTGAAGCTATCTATATTGTTATTGTTAGGTGCCATCGAGTCAGTACTGACTCATAGTGACCCTATGCAGAACAGAACGAAACACTGCCCGGTCCTGGGCCAGCCTCACAATTGTTGCCATGCTTGAGCCCATTGATGCTGCCACTCTGCCAATTCATCTTGCTGGGGGAGCTGACTATAGTCATAAGTAAAGTCATCATATCCAGTTATTAAAGGATAAAAGGTCTGTTCTGGGTTTCCATTTGGCAAAAGTCAAGAGATTGGTGTAAAAAGTGTCTTCTGAGGAAAATAAAGTCTCATTTAAAACAAACAACAAAAATATATTACCTCTTTCTCCAGTGATATAAGAAAAGTCCTTCCAGATAATTTGCAACTAAATAAGCAACTTGAAGTAAAACAGAAAATCCAAACACATTTAAAAAAACCCAAAACACCTCATACACATTTTTCTCCCTTTTAACTTCATGTTACAAAAAAAAGTATTATTTTTCGAAAAGCTGACAAAAGCTAGCATATACCCTCCTCAGCTTAACAGTCTTCCAAAGAGCACATCCAACTGCCATAAAACGCAAAAATGGATATTTAATTCAAGAGCTATATAACGTCTACCTACCTTTTCCCTGCTGTTTCACAGCATTTCATTATTTTGTTTAATAAGTTCATCTCCTCGAGAATTTTCTCTTCACCTCATATTATTAAAAGTAATAAGTTTTTCTGGACCGGGGGTTTCCCAACAGAAAAACCAATTTATGTGTGTCCTTCAATAATGACAGGAAAAGATTATTTCCCATTATATTGCATACTTTTCATATCACCACCACAGCTTATCATTCAATAAATGTTACTCTGCAATTCTTTCCATTCCTCAAGGAAGTTTAATTTCTACATTAACCTGTTTTCACTGGCCAACGCCTTACCAGAAAGCCTCTGTGTTGCAGCAGAATTAGTTCGTTAAAGAACCCATTTAGGAATCTCTTGTCGGTGATAAAATTGTCTTCGGTTAATAAAAGGACTAAAATAAGTTTACATCTTGATCACACAGACTTACTCCAAACTCACACTCACTTTCTGTTAATCGCACATATTCCTCCATGAATGTGTTCTTTTGTAATGAAAGATAAATTAAACATTTATCTTAATAAAGGTGACTCATTCACACTTTCTGCATATAAAGACAGTTATCATGGCTGCAACTAGTATTATAAATAACATTATCTTTACTCTCAAGAAAGATTTGCTGGCAATAATATACCTTGTTTCCAGTTTTCCAGAAGAAATCTCTAATGGCCCGTAGCATTACAATAGCTACTGGGAAGGTGGCATTTACTGTTTCCTTTCCAGTAGAGGTCTTAATAAAATCTGATCCTAAAACAAAGGAAGAAAAACTCCATGTTAATTAAAAACTTACTTTTTACACTTCTGAGTCAGTGGAAGAAATGAGTTGTTTAAATGTTTTTCAGGGTAATACACTTCATTTTTCAATAATTACGTGAAAAAAATAAAAATAAACGTTTCTTTTTACCATGCTTAGGTGATAGAGGATTCTGTTAAAGAATTATGAAAATTTTGGGGAGATAGTTCATGATGATAGTTGGACAACAAGATCAACACATTTAAGGTCATTTAACTAGCTGTAAATATTAGCAATATCGAAATGGTAAATGTTTGGCTACCCAAATATCTGCAATTAAAAAACAAACACAAAATAACCCTCATTCAAACCCAAGTACGGCTTTGGGCTATTGCTTGTTTCTGTTTTTCAAAAATGGAAAATTTTTTTTTTTTCTGATTATAAAGAAATACAGACTCATAAAGTAATTCCATCCCTGTGCCACCTCCGCCCCTTCCCAGCCCCACTGCCATCATATGATGAATTAAATTAGGCAACAAGACTTCTGGAACTCTTGCCTCTATGCTTGTATTAAAAAAAATTTAAATATATATATATCATTGCCATTAAGTTGATTCAGACTTATAGAGACCCTATAAGACACAGCAGAACTGCCTTCAGGGTGTCCCACATCTTTTCTCTGTTGGAGTGACTGGTGGGATTGAACTGACAGCCTTTCGGTCATCAACCAAATGCTTAACTGTTGTATCACCAAAGGTGGAATTGAAACCAAAACAATCTAACTGAACCAAAATGCTAGAACATCTCCAAGAAACTTATCTAGGGTCACACAGTCAGATGGCCAAGTAGAGAATCCACCTTTCATGTGGTCACCAGTCCCCAAATACTGTAAAGTGCGGACCATGAATGAGCCGTATGGCCATTGTTGTTGTTGTTAAGTGCCATCGAGTCAGTTCTGACCCATAGCGTCCCTATATAGGGTTTCCAAGGAGTGACTGGTAAGCTTGAACCGCCAACCTTGCAGTTCAAACTGCTTTGCAGTCTGGCACAGTAACCCACAGTGCCATACCAGGACTCCAGTATGGGCGTTACCGGGGAGCTTGTTAGAAATGCTGTCTCTTTGGCCTTACACTCAGCTAACTGAACCAGAATGCACATGCACAAGATTTCTAAGTGATTCATATGTAAATGCGTAAAGCCTTAGATCACTGAATCTGTGACTAGTCTTTGAGAGTCTCCCAAAGACAGTGAAAGAAATGGATGATAGAAGTGGAAGCAGGAAGACGCCTAAACTTTTCCCTCTAGCTTCAGTTGGAAGGGTTATTTCCAAAACTATTCTGTGTATAAAAAGGATCAAAGCAGCAAACAAACCTTTACTAATCACACTATCTGTAAGGTACTGATGTGGCACTGTACAATAAGCACTTGACCTCATGGTTGGTTTGAACTGCAAAATCAGTGGTTTAAACTCACCAGCCAATCCTTGGAAACCCTATGCAGGGTTGCTATGAGTTGGAACCAATTCAATACACAACAACAACAACATGAAAAATACCTTAAAGTTAAAAAAATTCAAAGTCCTTGCCCTCAACAGTATATACTTCAGGACAGGTGCAGATAAATCATGTAGCCAGGGTGATTGTTTGATGACCCAGAAGCAAGAGGCCTCTGACACTTACCTTACAAATTCCATCTCTTTACCTTCCTCATTTGTAAAATAGGTCTGAAATTTCTTACAAAAAGTATCCGAAGAGAATCTATGTGAAAACACTTTCAAAACTGCCAAAAGCTATATGAATATAAATGGGCCAAGGACCCAGGTATGGTTGCAATCTGTATAAAGCGTTGTAATCTGTATAAACACCATAGAAACTCACTCACTAGATGCTTTTTCTTTGGGTCTGTAGACCCACTGGAAGAAATGGAGACATGCTCAACGTTAGTATGTACCAGGCTCTTTTCTAAATACTGGAAACATATCAATAAATTTAAAAGGGCAAAGTATCTATACTTATAAATAGATTTTTAGAGGGAAAAAATAAGAAACAAATAAATATATATATAATTCCTGGTGTAGTTAAAGACTATGAAGAAAAATAATGTAACAAAATGAAATATAGAGTGACGGGATTGAGGGGGGGTGGCTAGATTTAAATATTGTCATTACAGAAAACCATTTATGATGCGTGAAATTCAAACACATGAATAAAGTCTGTAGAAAGAGCAATCCAAGCCCAGGGCATAGCAGTGCAAAGGCCCTGAAGTAGGCAAGCTCTAAATGAATGAATTAATCAATCAGTCTATAAAACTGATGTATGATCCTTACAACATAGAGACAAGGCTCTCAACAAAGAGAGATTAAAGTTTCTACATGGACAAGAGATGTCAAGGTAATATTTCAAAGAATTCACAATGAGACAACAAAGTGTTTTCCTAATATGTGACGTCTTCTGATTCACTAAGGTTTTGGGGTGTAACGTTATATATTATCAAAATTCTTTTACATATCTCAGAAGAGCAGGGTATTAGGACAGGCAGTCAAGATTACATTTTGAGGTCTGGAACAACAAAAAAAGTACATCAAACCATCTAAAGCTTACCAAAATAATCATACTCTTGAAAGAATTTGGAGGCGAGATAAGGTTTTAGAGGCTAGGTAAAGGTAAAGTCTCTCTTCCTAATGTATTTGGGAAGAACAGGGCAGACTCTACCTACCACGGTACCAAAAGCATACCAAGGATGTCCCACACATTATTTATTTGTTCCCCTTGGAAGGAAGATATCAATCTTTCTTAGTAAGTGCTATCGAGTCAGTTCTGATTCATAGCAATCCTATACAGGATTTCTGAGGCTTTAAATCTTTGAAGAAGCAGAGAGTCTCATCTTTGTTCCCACAGAGTGGCTGGTGGGCTTGAGCCATTGATCTTACGGTTCTCAGTCTAGAGATTATCTTATGCACTTGTACTCTCAAAGCATTATACACACTAGAAGCTCAATAAATATTTGCTGACTGGATGAATGAATGAATCAGAGAAACTGGATTATATGAAGAAGAACATGGCATCATTAACCTATATTATGTAGATGACACAACCTTGCTTACTGGAAGCAAAGGGTACATAAAATAATTGCGAAGATCAAAGAGCACAGCCTTCAATGTGGACTGTACCTCAATACAATGAAAACAAACATTTTCACAACTGAATAAAAAATATGATAAATGGAGAAAAGACTGAAGTTGCCAAAGGATTCATTTTGCTTGGATCCAAAATCAACACTCATGGAAGCAGCCGTCAAGAAATCAAAGGGCATATTGCAGTGGGCAAATCTGCTATAAAAGACCTCTTTAAAGTGCTCAAGAGCACTTTAAAAGATGTCAAGTTGAGGACTAATGTTTGCCTAACTCAAACCAGAGTATTTGCAATCACCTCCTGTGCATGTGAAAGTTGGGCAATGAATACGGAAAACCATAGAAGAATTGATGTATTTGAATTATGGTGTAAGTATAGAACACTGAAAGTATCAAGGACTGCCCCCTATATAGGGTTTCCAAGGGTGTAAATCTTTACGGGAGTAGAAAGCCTCATCTTTCTCCCGCGGAGCGGCTGGTAGTTTCGAACTGCTGACCTTAAAGGTCCGCAGCCCGATTCGTAACCACTACGCTACCAGAGCTCCTTAAATACCAGCAGGGTCACCCATGGTGAACAGGTTTCAGATGGGCATCTAGACTAAAACAGACTAGGAAGAAGGAAAGACAGACTACTGGTGAATATTTAGTCACTGAAAACCTTATGTTATGAATAGCAGTGGAATGCTGTCAGCACCATAATACTTAATATTGAGACATGATGAAGAGCACCAGAATGTTGTCCGCTATAGTGCTAGAAAATGAGCCACTCAAGTTTGGAAGACACTCAAAATACAACGGGGGAAGAGCTGCCTCTTCAAACTAGAGTTGACCATAATGATACAAATGGAGTAAAGCGTTTGGGACCTTCATTTGCTAATGGGATACAACTCAAAATGAGGGGAAATAGCTGTAAACATCCATTAATAATTGGACATCATGCATGGTAAAGTGGAGGATTGACAGAAAAGATGGACTAGCACAGTGGCAGCAGTAATGGGCTCCCGCATAACAATGATTGTAAAGTTAACACAGAACTAAGCAATGTTTCATTCTGTTGTGCATAGGGTCACTGTGGGTTGGTACTGACTCGATGGCACCTAACAACAAAACAACCATGGACTGCCAGAAGAACCCACAAATCTGTTCTGGAGGAAGTACAGCCAGAATGCTACTTAGAAGAGGATGGCAAGACTTCGCCACTCATACTTTGGATATGTTGTCTACAGGGACCAGTCCCTGGAGAAGGACATCATACTTGGTAAAGTGGAGGATCAATGAAAAAGAGGAAGACCCCCACTAAGATGGATTGACACAATGACAGAAACAGTGGGCTCAAACATTACAATTGTGAGGATGGCCTAGGACTGGGCAGTTTCCTTCTATTGTGCACAGGGTTACTATGGATCGTAACTGACTGGATGGCACCTCACAATTATTTACTTTTAAATAAATCTTGCATTTTAGAACAGATTTAGATTTACAGAAAAATTGCAAAATAGTACAGAAAGCTCCCATATAGTCTGCATCCAGTTTCCCCTATTGGTGGCACACTTACATTAGTACAGTACATTTGTTTTTTTAATTGTTGCTGTGAAGTGCCATAGAGTTGGTGGCAAACCATAGTGTCGACCCTGTATAGGATTTCTGAAGAGCAGCTGGTGGATTTGAACTGCTAGCCTTCCAGTTCAAATTGTATTATCCTGCAGTGAACTAATATTAACATATTATCACTAACAATTTGTGGTTGTTGTTAAGTGCTGTCGAGTCGATTCCTACTCATAACAACCCTGTATAGGGTTTCCAAGGAGCAGACAGCAGTCTGCACTTTATTCACATTGCCATAGTTTCACCTAACGTTGACAATATAGCTTGCCTCTGCTTTCT